TAAGTGATTGAATATTAGGTTGAGGCAATGGTATAAGAGCTGGTAAAGAACTTCCTGGGCTACCTACTAATTTGCTTGACAATCTCTGTGTTAGTTTCTTAACAAAAAATATATCAGGTCGTGGTGGTGCTTCTACTATCTTTTGTTTTTCACGAAGTCGTTCTTTTAATGCTTCTGTTATTTCAGCTGATGAAGCTATTTGATTAGTTAAACTACGACCACGATTAATAGGGGTAATTTGTGTCTGTGATGATGAAGTTTGATTAAGTACAACTGTTTCGTGTGTTGTATTTTTTACAGACATTCCCACAGCTTGTGGTACAAAGTAATTTACTTGATCTTTAAGTGATGATTTTATATTATCTTGTTCTTTTTTTATAACTTGATTTTTATCTGGTTGTTTTTCTGATATTTGTATTTCCTCATTTTCTTTAATAATTTCTATAGCTTTCTCAACATCTGTATCTGGTTTTTTCTCAATGCATGTTATTTCTTCTTCAACTACTACAACTGTGTTCTCTTCTATCGCTTGTGTTTTTGTCTCATTTAATAAACTTTTTAATTCAATTTCCACAGTATCTGGTGTTTTAGATACTAATTGATGATCATCTTCTGCATTTTCATCACCCCAATCATCAAAAATATCTTGAATTACACTTCTTTTCTTTCTAGTTGTATCTATTTTATTTGTTTCATTTGTAGATATACTTTCTTCTTCTATATTACTAACATGTGTAGATGAAATAACTTCATTATGAATAACTTCTTCTTCTACATTAATTTTATGTAAACTACCATAATATTCAGTCTTGCCATTGCTATTTGTTTTTACTTGATCATCATATTTTTTTCCAACATTTTTATTCTCTTCCTTTATTTTTTCTGTTTCAAAGTTAATATCTACAGTTTCTGAATTATTAATTACTTCTGAAGTAGTAGAATTTATAGAATTTTTTTCTAAAGTAATATGATTTGAATCTTCTTTATTATCTTGTTGAACACAAGCTTCAGAAATTTCTGAATCTACAATTTCTGTTGAAATAACTTCAATAATAGTTCCATCACTTTCTTGGGTATAATCTATTAAATTAAATTCTTCATTTACAATTTCAGTTTTCTTTATTTCTTTTTGTTCATTAGAAACATTATTTTCATCAGAATTTATGGTATCATCCTTTTTATGTACAGTTAAAACAATATTTTCTTCTGTACTTTCTACAGTTACTACCATTACTTCTGAATTACTATTAACTAGTTTGGATAAATCTGAATCTGTATCTGTGACATGCAAAGTTTGGTCTTTATTATCAAATGTCTCACTAAGTGTTTTAATTAATGCTTGACATTGAACATTACTATCATCAACTGTATCTATGTTTAAAACTGTACAAACATTGTGTTTTTCATAATTTTGTTCATCTTCATTCTTGAATACTTCAACATTTTTTGTATTTTCCTTATCCAGAGATGTGTCTTCTACACATTTTAAGTTACTTTCATTTTTTTCTGTTTGATTAATTATTTTTTCTGTTTGATTTTCTTTATATTTCTCATTTTTTATACATTGATTATTATCAATTTGTATGTCATTATTTATTATTTCTTGTTTTTCTTCATTAATTATAACATTTTTTATATTTTCTGTTGTTTTATTTTTTTTATTTTCAATTTCTTTACTTGAATCTGTTATATCATATTCATTTCTTGATAAAACATTTTGAATTATATTATTCGTACATTCTTGCAAATTTTCTTGATTTTCAGAAATATTCTCCTTGTGTACATGATCAATATTTGATTTTGATACTAATGAAGAAGGTATATCTACTGTTAATGATAATTCTGTTTTATTAATATCACTCTGTATTTCATCTATTTGTTCCATGGTAAAACATCAAGATCGTTACAATTATTTAACAAATTATTGATTGTCCTGTCGAGAAAAAAACAAGTAATATCATTAATGTTAAAAAAAATTATAAATGAAATGATTAATTGAAGAAAAAATAAATATTAAAATATATTTTTTATTATTTTATTAAACTTAAAGTAAAAAAAATTTGTTATTTCATAACCTTACATAGATTCTTCATTAAATCACATAAAAATAAACTTATCTTTTTCTCTGCCTTGAATAAAATAATTATTAACTTAATTTTGTATAAAAAAATTGAAATGAATTTTAAAAGTAAAATCTATATTAAAAGCTATGGAAGCTACTTTAGTTAACTAATACATTTCGATATTTCTTAGGATGATAGTAAATAATACCTTATAGACGATTTTTATACAATGATATGATTCATTATATTATTTTACAATAATACTACGTAATATATTTCAATTAATATTGTTTTATTTAGATCATTATACTGTTTAATAGTATATTTGTTAAATACGTAAAATGATTTTAATGGCAGAATGAAGAACTTACCAATCAGGACTACCATGTCCATACTGCATAGATATCCGTGAAAATTACACATTATTTATATTAAATATGTTTATTTAAAATTGCTTTCAAAAAAAAAACAATTCTATTAATCAAATATTTTATATAAATCTTACTTTAGTAGATCTCAGAAGAAAACAATTACTTTCTTAAATCCAAACACAATGTTTACAGGAATGAAGTCAGAGGTTCATACTACTGTCTGTCTGTCCGTCTGTCTGTCTATCTCTCTGTCTCTCTGTCTTTCTGCTCTCTGTCTCTGTCTCTCTCTCTCTCTCTCTCCCCTTTCTCTTTTATTATTAATTTAGATATTCTTTTTTTAAGTTTTTTAATGAAATTAAAAAATTAGAAAACAAAATTTTTACTTATAATTAAAATTTTATATATGTTCTACAATATATAATAAAAATATAAATTTTATATAATTATAATTGATAATTAATAACATAATTATAAGATTATCATTGATTATCATTTTGATTTAATTATATCATAATTAAACAATGATAAATTCTTTTCTAATTCTAAAATATTATAAATAAATAAATAATATATTTACTAGGTTTTAAGTATAAATTTAACATAAATTATAAATTATAAATTATCATTATCAAATAAAAATAAGAAATTATTTTATTTAAAAACATATTATTGCTAAATTAATTTTGTTATAATTTATAAAATTAACAATAATAATTTCTACTTGATATGTACATGTATATTAAAAGAAATCGAACTTTAATCCATGTAATTAGTTTCATATATTTTTATATACATATGCATACATATTATTTTCATTATATACCAATAATATATATAATATATATGTACTATATTTTATACATCCTTTTTTCATATATATTTTATATTTTCATGTATATTTTTTTTTTCTTTCAAGAAATTCTCTTTTTTTAATTTTTATATAATATGTTCCAAGTTTAGCATTTTAGAACATAAGTATAAACAGATTCATTGGAATGATTTCTTAAAAAAATATTTATAATAAACATTTCTAAGATTGGTGCTGCATTTTTTCTGTATAAATTGTTAATTTTGTCTATATAAATTAGAAAAAAAAAAAAATAGAAAAATTTAATATCAGTAGCACCATCTCGTGAATGAAAATTGAAAGCTTCGATACGTAATTAGTAATGTAGGATATACAAAGAGGTATTCATGATATCATAAACAAAGAGAGGAACATTATGCGACAAAAACATGCAAACTTTAATTATATAATTATATATTATATATTAATTATATAATTCTTAATATCTATCTTAATATTATATCAGAAATATAACACTAAAAATTAATTAATTATTAATTTTCTACATTAAAAATTCTATATTTTTATTTTTGCAATTTAAAACTAAGATTTCAAATAATTTTCTACAATAAATTTTATTGAACAAATTTTTTTAATTAACTATTTATTAATTATTTATTAATGATTATAAGATAGAAGATTAAGATAGAAGATATCTATCACTTACTGATTACCGATTTGTAAGTAATTGAGTAATAATAAAAAATCAATTTAATATATTTATTTATTCATTAAACAAAAAAACAATTAAAAAAAACAGAAATAGAAATTTTATATGAATATAGAGAAAAAAATAACAGCGATGCATATTTAGAAATAAATCTTATAATAATATAAAATTAGTTATCAAAACGAATTGAACGTGGATTGTATTAATTCTTATCTGATAATAAATAATTAATTAAAAAAATTTTTGTGTTGAAATTTTCAGGAAAAATTATTTGAATTTTTAATTTTAAGATATAAATTTTAAAGCATGGATTTTTTTAATAGCAAAATAGTAATTAAAAATATTAATTTTCAATATTTTGTTTTTAATATGTGGAAGATATTAAAAAATCGATAATCAAAGTTAGTATTTTATTCATTCATTTTATCTGTATCTTCTTGAATATCTCCTATATTCTGTATTATTAATAAATAATAAGTTGGAATAGTGTCGTAAGATGTCACCATAGATATCTAAATATAATTCTTCAAAGATAAGATAAAGTAGAAAATTGAAGATTAGTATCATTTCTTGAGTATTTTTAAAGAGAGATATATATAAAATTCAAGAGGTGGCGATAGTGACAAATTCTTATTCTTCTTTTACTGTTTTCTCTTGTTTATATTATTTTCATTTATGTCTAGTTTAGAGATGGCGCTAATTACCTAATTTTTAACCTATCTTTTTTTAATTATTTGTTATATTTATTTAGATTTGAAAAGTTCTATTAAATATTAGCTTTATCGTATATTTCGACTAAAATTATTGTTTAATGTAATTTTTTCAATAATAGTAGATAAATTTATTTAAATAATGTGTCCATTTATGTGCCAATAAATGACAATAAAATAATTTTCTATTATTTTGTTTTCTTATCGTTGTTAGAAAACATAATATGTGAATCGTAATTTTTTAATTGGTTTTTTAAGAATTTAATTTCAAGAGTGTGTGTGCGTGTTATTTTCCATAATTGAAAACGTGATTTTAAAGTGCGAAAGTTTATCTGTATAATACATATATATATATATATATATACACGAAGTGATAAGAGTTACGTTGTATTTATGGTGCAAACAAAATATGTATATTTTTGAAATTAAATAAAATTTTTATTTTTAATCTTAAAAATTTTTAATCTGATACCTTAATTCTTATCTAAATAATTTTATTTTTAATTTATTATTATTAAACTATCTTCTATATCAACTGAATCTCATTCTTTTTTGTAGAGTTTATTTGTTACTATATATAATAAAAAATTTTATATCAGTTAAATGGTTAATTGGTAATTGCGATAAATCTTATTAATCGTTCTTATCAGTTTTATATATTTATGAAAACAGTGTCTTTCATATTTTTTTGATTAAAAAATAATTTTATATGTGACTTGCATTACGTACATAACCTATAACGATATTTTTATTCTGAAATTATTAGTGATTAAAGTAAAAAATGTCAAAAATTGTTATTGTTGGTTCATGCATGGTTGATTTTACTTGGTAAGTGACATAATTTTATAATTTGAATATCTAAAATTCATATTATGATATAGTTTACTTTATCTAGATTATATTTTTTGAAAAATTAAATCTTTATATTTTTTTAGACACATTTTATAGATTAGAAAAACATAGAATATGAATTCTATAGATATTAAAATTTATATTTAATTGAGTAATTATAAATTATAAATTACTTCTTTGATTAAAAAATTGGTAAAAAAATTTATTTTTTAGCTTTTCTCCTCGTTTTCCAAAACCTGGGGAAACAATAGTGGGTAGAAAATTTGAGATAAAATATGGTGGTAAAGGTGCTAATCAATGTATATCAGCTGCCAGGCTTGGTGCAAGCACAGCAATCATTGCTTCTGTACGATTTTTATTTTTATTTGTAATCTCTAAAAGTGTGTGTGTGTGTGTGTGTGTGTGTGTGTGGTGAGTTGTGTGTAGTTGTGTGTAGGTGTGTGTATATGTGTATTATAGAATATATTTATGGAACATTTTTGAAAGATACATACTAGAATCCAAAAAAAATACGAAAATGTTGATTGAAACTTATTTATAAATTATTAGCAATTTAAATTATATATATAATATATAATAGTAGTTTAAATTAAATTTGCGTTAGATGAAGTGAAATAAAGATAAAATGAGATGTTGATGTGATAGAGTTATCTCATTTTATTTAACGCAAATTTAAATTATTAAATATAAATGTTATATAATCGACATTTTTTTATTATCAATTTTATTTTTTTGTATCTCTAAGCTTAATCTTTCAAAGATATCACATGTATATACATATATATATATATATATATATATATATATATATATATATATTATTTAAATTTATATTTAATTGAGTAATTATAAATTATAAATTACTTCTTTGATTAAAAAATTGGTAAAAAAATTTATTTTTTAGCTTTTCTCCTCGTTTTCCAAAACCTGGGGAAACAATAGTGGGTAGAAAATTTGAGATAAAATATGGTGGTAAAGGTGCTAATCAATGTATATCAGCTGCCAGGCTTGGTGCAAGCACAGCAATCATTGCTTCTGTACGATTTTTATTTTTATTTGAATCTCTAAAAGTAGTGTGTGTGTGTGTGTGTGTGTGTGTGTGTGTGTGTGTGTGTGTGTGTGAGTTGTGTGTAGTTGTGTGTAGGTGTGTGTATATGTGTATTATAGAATATATTTATGGAACATTTTTGAAAGATACATACTAGAATCCAAAAAAAATACGAAAATGTTGATTGAAACTTATTTATAAATTATTAGCAATTTAAATTATATATATAATATATAATAGTAGTTTAAATTAAATTTGCGTTAGATGAAGTGAAATAAAGATAAAATGAGATGTTGATGTGATAGAGTTATCTCATTTTATTTAACGCAAATTTAAATTATTTAAATATAAATGTTATATAATCGACTATTTTTTTATTATCTAATTTTATTTTTTTGTATCTCTAAGCTTAATCTTTCAAAGATATCACATGTATATACATATATATATATATATATATATATATATATATATATATATATATTATTCTTCTTTAAATTTAAATTGATTTTGTTATAATAAATTTTTTTATAGTTAGGTTCTGATAATTATGCTCAAGAGTACTTAAAGATTTTTAAGAAGGAAAACGTAAATGCTTCTCATGTTCAAATACAAACAAATGTACATACCGGAATATCACATATTACGGTTATCGACAGTGGTAAGTAAGCTTTCTAATTCTATAAATTATTTTCATTAATATTTAAAATATACGAAATTCTTCAAAATTAATTAATTTTAGGCGAAAATAATATCATAACTGTGTTAGGATCGAACAACTTATTAAGTCGCAATCATGTAGATAGCTCGATAAATTTAATCAAGAATGCTGCCGTTTTATTGTGTCAATTTGAAATACCTTTGGAAATTACTTTACACGCCTTGAGGCTTCACAAAAATTATGGTTAGTTGTTTCTCATGATTGTTTCTGTGGAATCTACATATAATAAGTTTTATAAAAAATATAATGCGATAGGTCTATCAATTGTAAATGGAGCACCTGCTATGAAAAATATTGACTTGGAATTGTTGAAACTCTGTGATATATTCTGCGTTAATGAACTCGAGGTATTAAATTATTAACAATTCTTTAATATTGTAATTTTTCTTTTTATTCAGATAAGATTAAAAATGGAAAAAAAATTAGAAAATTAATATATATTTATAGGCAGAAGTTATGAGTGGAATATCCTTCGACGGAGAATTGAGTATAGAACACATTATGAATAAATTGTTGGATATGGGTTGCAATACAGTTATTATTACTCTCGGTAAACAAGGAGCAATATACGCATCTCAGAAGGATAGAACTGTTAAAAAAGTTTTCACTGCTATTGTTCAGCCTATAGATACAACAGTATGATTTTTCTTGTTCAGTATAAAGAAATAGATTATACATTTGCCAATTCACTTTTTATATGTTTTGAAATTATTTGAGATTTATTCTTTTTAAATCTTTTTATTATTAATTTTTAATATTAATTTGATGTTTTACTAGTTTTTAATCGTTATCTAAAGAGAAAATTTCTATTCGTATTTAACAATTAATTTACAACATATCTCATTATAACGTATTACTAATATTCATGATATATGTTTAGGGAGCTGGAGATGCATTTCTAGGGGCTCTTGCATATTTTAAAGCTTATCACCCAACACTTTCATTGGACGAGTGTATCCGAAGATCTTGTATCATTGCCACAAAATCCGTATTAAAATTCGGTACACATGCAAGTTTTCCGTACAAGAAGGATTTATCGTCAGATCTGTTCATTTAAAATAATAAAATAATATATACTTTATATAAACGATATATAATATATACTTTATAGATCGCAGCCATCTACTCATTTACTCCTTTTCTTTTCTTATTTTATCCATTTTTATTTTTTTTATATTTTATTCTTTCCACTTAAATTTAATAATAATAAAGAATCAAATAAATAAATTAAAAAAAGAATGATTTATTTTTATGAAATGAATCATTATATTTATTATCTTTATATTATTATTATTATTTAGTTTTTAATTTTATTTCGTGTCATATTTCTTATTATATTCGATAATTAATAAAATAAATGTTATCAGAAATAAAAAATTCTTTTATAGCTAATATATGATTAATATATATTTTAAAAAATAAAGAATATAATAATAATAACGATTCAATTGTGAGGATAGATCACGCATGATTTGGATTTTACGAATAAATAAAATTTTAATAGAATCATTTGAAATCAAAATATAGGCAAATCATGAACGAAATTTAGGGCAAATCATTGGGGATTGATTTGAATTTTGTAATCTGTTATCCGGTGGCAAAAGTAGTTACGCCAATGTTTATATAATTCATATGAATAGTCTATATTAATCTATATATAATAGTCTATATATTATATAGAATATATTATACTATATTGTTTGCCATTGTGATTATTTTTTGTGATACATTTATTAGATAGTAAATAAATGATGGTTGTATAATAATGTCATAAATAAAATATACATATATAGATGAAATCCAATATAATAGTAACAACTATTTTTCGCAATGTCTCAAAAACTTCAAAATTGTATCTTTTATTATTAATATATTTAAAAATTATCGGAATCGAAATATGTGTTTTCGTATAAAATCTAATTACAAAATATAATTCTTAAGAAATAAAAAATATCAAGAAATCAAGAATATTACTAAGAAAAATGTTTCCATTATAATGATCTTTAATTAATTTTAATTCGACTTAATATTTTTAACTTTACAATGGAGAATCAAAAAAATCATATTTGCTTTTGTTATTATATTAAAAACTACAAATGTAAGATTTGTAGCAACTTTTTTTTGAACATCTAATTATGTTCTAAGTTTAAGAATAAATTATTTGAAAAATATATTGATAGAATTTTTTGCATTATGTATGTTTGAAAAATATGTAAGATTCGATAATGATAATGCAACACTGTTTATTTAAAAATTATAAATTTCATAATTGATGATTCTTCGAAATTATAAATAATAATTTAGAAAACACCATACCATACCATACCGATGAGTCGCCACCATACCATAGCAATGTTGCTAGAAATGAGATAAAATAAGAGAATAACGAAGAAATTCGAAGAGTAGTGGTAACATAACATAAGGTGGGGATGATCACCTTAAAATCCTCACTCTGGATCGAGAGAATTCACTTTTTGATAAACCATCCAGTTTGATCGTTCCGAGAGGAAAACCTTCTATTTCGAAAATTATTCGTTATTCATTCTCAAGTTATACAAAGTAAATATTCAGTGATTTTGATTGAGATACTTCTCAAGTATCAAACGACATCCACAATTTGCTAATTTCTAATCTAACGCAGCAACGATTAAAATTTTAAACTATGTCGATAAATATTATTACTGGAATTCTCGTTTGCATAATGTTTATTAACTCTACAAAGAAAGACTTAACGGAGGCAAAGGCTTCACCAGAAAGACTTCATATTCATCATAAGGGTGTCTATCGACGGTTCAACGAGACCAAAAATAATAATGAAGAAAGTTTGATAAATTTGTTAATGCTCAACGGTAGCGATGCTATGATATTAAAGAATCGGATATTGGCTAGAAGAAAACGAACATATAAGGAAATTTATCACATAGAAGCGGAAAAATTGCAGAAGACAGCACTCTGTAATTATACGATAGAACCGCTTGAGGAGATTTTTGGCGATTGGATATCGCAATTGTATCACATTAAATGCATCGATGCAAATCTCGGTATGAAATGTAATGGTTCCAATCAGCCTCATTGTTGCATACAAACATATCAAGAGGTAGAATTGCCGGAATATGGAAAGGAAGAATTTACACAGGATGCATATGCGCATATCTTTCTTCGAATAAGAGAAACTCCGAAATATTTGATGATTAATAATTATAAAAAAAAAAATTACGATAATTAGGAATATAGATAACGATTCAACTTTTTTTAAAGTTCATTCGAGAAAACTAATTTATTTATCATTTTTAATAGACAAAGTATCTTTGATTTTAAGAAGATGTCTTGATTCATATCGTAACAACAATTCAGATTGTGTTAAACAAATATTAATTTTTTATCAGATGTGAATTACGTAATTATGCATAGTTTAGGATATTAACTACAAATATGGGCCAATTAGATCCATAAATAAAGATAGAATGCTCGGTCGTCTGAACGTCTGAACATGGAGAATCTCAATTTGCTTAATACTCGATATAATAGATAAGTATACATATATATTATGTAATCAACTTATTATCTATCCATTGGATCATTTGTAAAACGCAATCGTTGTTACAAAATGCTCAAATAGTGTGATAAACGCGAAATATAATAATTTTTTATATTATTATTAACAAATTAATATTTTATTTATTATTCTTTTAAATATTATTTATAAATTACGTAATATCTGAATTTTCTGTATTTTCCATGAAAAAAGACTGCCAATTAAATGCAAGAAGAGCAAAATTATCTATATAAAAAAATTCTATACTTCTTTAGAGACTGAACGAAATTTGATAATTTGACACTGTGATAGTTTCTTATTTTTTATTTTTTTATATAGAATTTAAAAATTAAATTTTGCCCGCATAACATCTTTAGCAATCCTAGCCGATATAATATAAATTTAGAAAAAAATGTTTTTGAATTTTGTGAAGTTTAATACTTTTTATGCATATTTAATATTATTAGATGGATAATTATTTGCTTAACGATTAAATATTTTATACTTGTTCCATGGTTCTTCCTGCATAATATGAAATCTGTATTGATTTGAACCTTAATTTGATACAAATATCAGATTATGAGTAACACGTTAATCTAAAATATTTCGCTATTCTTTATTGCAAGTATTTACATTGTAACAATATATTTATATATTTATATTATTATATATTTACATATATTACTATATATATATTTAATAAATTGTTGCATAATATAATGATCTTTTTCTAATTTTCTTATACCTTCTTCTCCACGATATTTTATAACTGCAATCGAATTACAGACGAAACTGTTATCTTTTTTTAAATTGAGAAAGATTTTAAGATCCTAAAATCTAAAATCATATATTCCACGAATAATTTTTAAAAATATTCTTAATATTATAAAAGATTTTTTGTTATAAAAATCGATCAAAAAGATCAATATTATCCATTTAATATTCGCATCGTTACGAAATTTAAGATTTCTCTTGCAAAACTTTTATCTCAAAACCGTTTTATATCTACGTGTTTTGAATTTATTACCTCCTGTAACAGGATTCATTAGCCTCATATTTGATAAAAAATGCTATGTGTGATTCAATTTCTTCGAAATCTTAATCATCGCATTTTCACAGTAAAGTAAGATCATGCGCCGTTTAAGGAGTACGGCAGGAAAATTGAAAAATTAAAAGAAATCCTTATTACATTATTACAAAAAAGAATTACGTCTTTCTTAACTCGACAACAAAAGAGACAATCGCGATAATCGTTTAAATTACATAGATAAATATTTTCCAAGATTTCAACACAAGAAATTCCCCAAGATCGATTATGTGTATTATATAAAAAAATTAAACATATCCAAATTAAAATATCCAAAGTAGGATACGCACGAGTTATCGATATTTAAGAATTTTCTTTCAAGATCTTGAATCTTAGCAATTATCATTTTCGTTTACAACTGCATTGAAATCCAGCTCTAGTAATATATTACGACATTTTACATGCATAGGATACACCTGTGATGCGTTACACAGAAAATGTCACGATACACGTTTACACATGTGTATTTACACACGTATATTTGTATGTATATTTGTGCGATGAAACGATTATGATTCAGCATCCCATCGACATCAATTACTTGCCTTATGGCGTCCCATGCCGCAAGGATGTTTATTCACGATACCGGTTGGAATTTCATTCAGTATCCAGGAGATTCCTGGTTTAAAAAAGAAAATAATTTTTAATTGTAAATTTTAAAATTTATTCTCGCAATATTTTGTACAAAAGTTTTCATTACTGGTTTTTCAGAGAATATTAGGCAGGGATTCCCCTTTGCATCTATTTATTACAAGGGGAAAGAAAACATTGGAATACGTATTAAGCGATGAATATCGTAATTATTGAAATTGACGGAATAAGGATGAAAAGATTGATTGTTTAATTATTAACTTAACTATTTTAACTAACTACCAATTCTCTCATATCTTCAAGTCTCGTACTTAAAGATCCATCATGAAATTCATCATGAATGAGATTATGTTGTTAGTGATGATAAGCGAGAAGGTGAGAAATTACATCTTTTAACGTCCCAAAGGATTTCTTGGGATTGATTGTTTCTTTTCAAGAGAAGATTGGATTATATCGTCATAAAGACTAATTGATTAATTCGTACACATATTTTTCATGATGGATAATCTTTATTATGGAATATACTATTTTTATTAGATCTAATGTTAAATGTTTAATCGAAAAAAAGGAACATTAATTTGGAAAAACAAATTATCATAAACGTGTACGAAATTTCGAATGAAGAATGATAATCAATATGAATATTATTACGTCCAAGAATATTATTGTGCATAATGAACATATGGATACAGGAAGAAATACAAATATAAGAAGAAATCTCTCGGAAAATGCGAAAACGCTTCCCGATTAAGGAAATCATTCCCTACCATTCTAGACCGATTTCCTCACGGATTTTTGTTCTTCGCATGGAAGATCTGCGGAAAATATATCGAATTTGCAATTTTAACTCGCGGAAATTATCATTCGCGTCACAATCTT